GCCAAGGAGGGAAACTCAAATATTTCATTTTTCCTCCATTTCCGATTTGCCCTCTTTAAACTACACAAGCTTAAAAGCCCAACATATATAACACCAATCAAATTGATTTTTTTTCTGCTCCTCCCTCTTTTTCTTTCTTGAGGACACAACGAGATTCAATATTCACAAATTCACAATACCACATAACACCTGTTAAAATAAGATTTAAAGCAATGATAAGTAAAAGGTTAAATCTATATGGAAATTAAAAAGCAAAAATAGTTAGTGTAAAAGATTCTGAAAATAGTCCTAGAAAAAATTAAACTGGTATTGCCAGATATTTTTTAGTTACCTTCTTTAATCACGTGACTTCTTTTATTGGAAGAGATAAAAAAGAGAGAAGAGTGTAAAGATCAAAAAATGAACTGAAGACACTTCCCGAAGACATTTTCTTCTTTGATGTTTTATTTCTCGCGTTTATATTATTTAAAAAAAAAAGGATAAAAAGGGGAAAGAAAGGTGTTCCAAAAGTACAAAAACACCACATAGGAAACATATATAACTTAGTTAATTCTATAAATAATGTTTCATTCAGTTCAAAACTAACTAAAAATTTAGTCTTCCCTTCATATGTTCAAAACAAACTAAAACATATATAACTTAGTTGATTTCTGGATCTTTTATGTAGAGATCTATATACAGTGTTGTAACTTCTATGAGGAAGAAACTACTAATTTTTATTCCTTTTTAAGTACATAGAAGTGGATCAAAATGATAAAATAGACCAACATTTGTAGATTCGCTATCAGCTTCATCTTAAGTTAACTTTCTTTAGCTTTGTTCGAGTGACGAATGTAACGCAAGTCCAAATTTTGTTCTAAGTCTTGTATAAAATCAATAAACAAGGTTTCTATTATCAAATAATCTTTTTATCGCAACTTAATGAATAAAAATGATTTGAATAGGACTTTGGCATTAGTTTGCAAATACTACTTCTTGCACATAGTTTAATTCTTCTGAGGGAGAAATTAAACTACTTATTTATTTTTTTCTTCTAAGAAAATGTAACTAGATCAGGACGTTTCGAAAGACTGACATACGTAGATTTTGATGTCACTCTCATGTTGAGTTAATGTTTTATCGCTTCGTTCAAGTGATAAATATAACACAAGTCCAAATACATTATCAAGTGCAAAGTATGTGACATGGAACTTTAATTAAAATAAATATGATTTAGAAGACGAACATGCAAAGATTTACCATCAAACTGATTAAATAGCTTGATTTCAGGAAAATTGGTACGAGCCATGTAGCTTGTTCAATAGCAAACTCTAGATATTCTTTACAGATATTTGTAGCAAAGAAACTCAGAATAGCAGCTTATGTGAGAAAGAAACTACATAGTTTACATTTTCCTTTGTAAGTATGTATAACTAGTTATGACAATTTAAAATATTGATACTTATAAATTTGTTGTCAACCTCATGTTGAATATTGAGTTTATCTTTGGAATTTTTACCTTCTATAGCAAAGGATAACACCTTATTTATTTAAAATAAATACCATTTAAATAAATTATATTCTATAAATACCTTTTATGGTTTATAGCAAAATTTCTAATTTTCGTTATCTTCCTACACTTAAGCCACTAAAGACGCTATGTTTTATTTTTCTCTCTCCCTTCTCAAATTTTTCTCTCTCATAGTTACCGTTTCTCATACAACTTCTCAATACACGTTCATCCTCTCTCTATTTTGATACAATTTATTTTCTTTCTCATTCCCTGTAAACACGCTCAAAACCAGAGAAACCTCCTCACACATACCGATGCTTCCTCCTTCCCCAATCTCGGCGTAAACCCTAATCTCCTCTAGATTTTACTCATTTGTTTCTATAAGTAGTGTGGTAAGTATTTGATTTTTTTGATTTTCGCTATATTTGCTTATTCTCAACATTTCTACTCACCAAATTTTCTCTAATCAACAGTATCCAAGCGTATTCTCACAATGTCTGAGAATAGACCCCGCAAGTTGATTACTAGAGGTATACCCACTAAAATTCTCAATTTCGATGGGCCCTCTTTCTCCTTGCAAATCACTCAAGGGGAATTGGATGCAGGTTTAGCCAAAAATATGGCATTGGAGAAGAGAACAAAATCTCGACATAACAATTTCAAAGAAACCCAATTTGAGAAATCATTGAAGGAAACAAGACTTTCCATTGCGGAAAAGAGGAAAAAAACATATTTGTGAAGCTTCATCTATCAAGGGGAAGGAGGTTGAAGCAAGTAAAAGCTCGGATAAAAAGGTAATTTCTGATGTATTCATCTGTATTATTGATGTATTCATCTGCATTTATATGTATAAACCTGTTGAGTTCTCTGTTCAAAAAGGATATTCAATATATTTTTGTACTTATAGAAATCAATGATACAGATATGTATATGTATTCTGATGTATTCTTATAGTTGTATTTATAATGATTTTCAAAGTTCCCATCACTGCTTTATTCTAATTGCAATGTCTTCATTTCTTGTATGGGTATGTATTATATTAGTACATATATTTCTATCACTGATATCTTACTCCAATTTATTTTTGCAGTCTGTATTTAGTTGTATTCATATGTATTCATATCAGTTGTACTATGAAATATGTGTTGTATTAAGTTGTATTTATATGTATTTATTCTTGGATATAACATTTTTTTATATCATACTTGTAGAAGTAATTTGGAAGACCATTACAAGAAGAACAAGTCAACACTTCATATACCATTGAATTTTGGAGTTGATCAAGTCAATTCGAAAAATTGGTTTTACCTTCTATCGTTTGACGGTAAACTATGGGATGACAATGTAAGTTTTACCCCTTCCAACTCCACTATAATTTATTTCTTTAGTATTGATTTGTCTAATTGTATAATTCACAAATTGAGCTCTCACACAAATTTGTCTTACATTACTTTTATGTATTCAATTGTACTTAGATGTATCTTATACATCTGCTGTATTTAATTGTATTCAGATGTATTTTAACATTACTCAGTAGTTTTAAATAAAAGATGTATTTAACTGAATCTGTATGATGTATTTAATGGCATCATTATTCTTGAATAAATGATGTATTTTGTTGTATTCAGATGTATTTTAAAAGTTCTCAGTATGTTGTAACTAACAGATGTATTTCAGTACTATGTATTTAATTGCCTCATTAGTCTTGAATAACAACATGTATTTAAATACATTCATATGTATTTTAACATTACTCGGTAGTTGTAAATAACAGATGTATTTAACTGAATCTCTATGAGGTATTTAATGGCCTCATTATTCTTGAATATCTGCAGTATTTAAGTGTATTCAGATGTATTATTCTTGAATCTGTGTGATGTCTTTAACTGAGTTTTCACTTACCATATTCAGTTTCTTTTTCTTAATTTGATTAATTGCACTAACACTATGTCATTAAATTTGTGTATAGCATATTGACGTCATATTCTACTATCTGAGAAAGAAGGGAAAGTACAACCAAACAAGTAACTTCAAGTATACAACTGTTGATTGTATATTCAAGACAAGAATCGCTGAAATCTTCGATAGGTATGTTGATACAGATAGTAATGCAAATGTAGCCAAAGAAGAGGATATGGTATGTGAGTACATAAGGGGCTACAGATTGCTAGCTAATGTACCTTGGCATACTGTTGACAATGCCTTGATACCAGTCAACTTGAAGGACAAACTACACTAGATATTGGTTGTTGTCTCATTCAAGGAGAGATGTATCAAAGTGTATGACTCGTACAGATCTGCAGGTTATGATGCATATGTAGCTTCTGAGATAGATAAGCTAGCTAAGCTTGTACCTCTGTATCTATCAATCAGTTGCTTTTACAGAGATAGTCAAGGCATAGATTGGTCTACTTACTCGGCATACACTGACAAGTCACATACTGATCCGTTTGAAGTTATTTTCATATCAAATCTGCCTCAACAAAAAGCTGGGAGCATGCATGTATTCAATCATCATTCTTGTATCATCTTAAAACTCTAATTGTATGAATTATTTTTAATTGTTTCAATCAACATTTTTCAGGGATTGGGGGGTGCATGTTGCGGCATACGCAGAGTTCTGAGCACTCTTGGTGAGATTCCACAAATAACATTTGATTCTAATCTACTCCGTCAAAGATATGGTGCTCTCCTCTGGGACTATGCTATGCAGAAGATAGATGTTGATGCCATAAGTGAGAATGAAGCACCCTCAAAGATTGCTAGGAAAATCACGGAGTCAGATTCAAAGTTACAGATAGTGTTAGAGTAGCTTTAGGTGAATGTATTTTTGGAATGTTGTTTTAGGCGAATATTGTTTTTTTGAATATCTTTTTGACAGAAGATGGTATTCATCTAGAAAAACAAATGTTTTAATCACTTTATCAACAGTGTTCATGTATGACAATTGCAACTCTTCAATCTATGTTTCATTGTTTTGCTCGTAAGTATTCATGCTTAATCTACAGTTTCTACTCGTATGTATCTTACAGGATATATTCATACGTATTAAATAGGGCGTATAAATGTGTATTAATATTCAGTCACTTGGCTTATATATCAAAGTCAGCAACTATATGCTTCAGGTTTATACGTATGTACTCAACTTGATGTATGTATTTATTAAAATTGTTATTCGAATGTATATGTTGACAAGGTTGTATTCGAATGTATTCAACACAATACTTACTTAGGTTATATGTATTTATTGAAATTGTTATATTATAGCTGAGTATATAATTGTATTTCGATGTATTTTGATTAGTTATGTATATACAACTCAGGCGCTGTCTATAATAAATTGGCTAAGTATTTATTGACAAGGTTGTATTCGAATGTATTCAACACAATACTACAACTAAATGTATCCAGAATCTATTCACGAAAGGCATTTCAAAATTTATTACTTCACAATGTCATCAGAAGTAATGACAAATCGTTGGAGCACTAATACATGTCAGAATGTTAACTAAATCCTACCTGGAGCATTTCTACACGTTCGCTTATTATGTCCTCCCTGCCCATATATGCTATATGAATGTTGTTTTTCCGCCTGCAGCAATTCACTGAAAGGTTTATCACGCTTCTTCTTTGGCCTTCCAGGAGGTCTTTTCCATTTGGGTAGTAATACAACTTCCTCTGCAACATGTGCTGGTATATTCCAGTCATTTCTGTCCGGTAGCGGGTACACAGGCACATCGTATGTCATTACAACAGAATTTGATTTGTAATAGTTAGAGCAATAATCTTCTGGCATTAGAAACATGCTCTTCAATACAGCCCAAGCATGTGGGCATGGTAATTCATCAACTTGGAACCTCCCACAAACGCATTTTCTCTCTAACAGGCAGACGGTGTAATGCCTCCCTCCATCGTTAACCGTATGTAAGTATTCAGTCGATGGTACCACCTACATTTAAACATAGACCTATAAGTTTTGAGCACATATAAATGGATTTCTTTATGTATAATGCTGAATTATTCAGTTAAATACAACTGAAATGTTTTAATACAGAAGAATACATCATATATGTAGATCGGCAGACTATAAACTACAATTACGTCTTAGCTTATGAATACAATGACATACATCAAAGATCTGCTTAACTTTAGGCAGCTGAAAAGAAACAAAAACATTATAAGGCTATTGCATGACAATACAATTGAATACGTCTATCTAAAAAGTTCTGTATAAGTTATTTCAGAAAGGGAAAAAGGTCAAAATTACCCCTCTACTATTGTTTATTAGTTGCTTGTGCCACCCGTTATACTTTCCGGCCATTCTTGTCCCTACCGTTAATGAACTTTGAATAAATACCCCTAACCCTAACGTCTATACACCGTGGCAACTGACCACATGAATTTTATCCAAATCAGCTGCCATGTCAGCTTCCACATCAGCGGGCCCACCTATTTAAAACCCCACAATACCCATTTACTATCCGTCTCTTACCAATAATTAGGGCTCAGACGACCCCAATCCTTTTCCTTCATCTTCAATGTATCAAGGAAGCTGTTCTTCCCCAATTAGGTATCGTTGTGGCATCTTTGCAAACCACTTCACTTCAACGACTCCATTAAATCCTGGAAGGCAAATTTTTAATTGTCCGAAGCCTAAGGTTAGTGATTGTGTAACAAAAGATCTAAATTACTACCTGTTTGCTCTAAATTATAGTCTAATAATAACGATCTTAGTTTCTTCTCTGATTTTTTTGTTTTCGACAGAATCGTTCTTGTGGTTATTTTGAATGGGAAGATGAAATCTCGTTCTCCAGTGATTTGGTTACAACTAAAAATGTAACATCATCTTGGAAAGCTATTAAAAATGATAGGGATAAATTGAAAGAAGAATTAATTTCCCTGAAGGCTCTACACAAAGCTGAAGCTGCAAAAGTAACGAAATTGGAAGAGAAGGTTTTGAAGACGAGGATAATGTTTATGATCTCATGGGCACTTTTTGTTGGATTTGTTGCGGCGTCGATGATGAAGTGAAAGTTGATGAATCTTGTTGATGATGCTAATGAATATGTTTTGTTGTCAATTTTATTATCGTTTGGAATTGGATGAAAAGGTGTTATGTATGTTGTTTTGAACCTTTTATATTAGACCTTGTAATCTTAGTTAATGTAATTCGAATATATTAGTTGTCAAGAATTAGTTAATGTAATTCCAAGTTATGAGCTTGTAACCGTTTACATTAGAGCTTATATTAGTTAATGTAATCGTAGAAGTTGTCAGTTCTTTTGTGATGAATTTTTCTGTATTATTAGTTGATGTTATGGGTTGATGAACATAGCATTTATGTCAAAAAGTATGGACAATTTCACAACTCCATTCCCAACCTAAAATCTGGACAGTTTCACAATGGCTTTTTGTGCCAAAATCTGGACAGTTTCACAATATTTTGGTCCAAAATCTGGACATTTTCACTACATCAGTTACGTCAAAATCTGGGCACTTTCACAAAGGCCTTTTTTGTGCCAAAATCTTGACAGTTTGACAATATTTTAGTCTAAAATCTGGACATTTTCACTACACCGGTTATGTCAAAATCGGGACACTTTTACGACACCATTTTGGTCCAAATTCTGGACAGTTTCACAAAATAACTTGTTAACAAAATCTGGACAGCATCTATAACTCATAAATGAACACTTAAATAATTCATAAACACTAATTTCATTCATCACAAGGGATGTCACATTATCACCCCAAAAACCTACATAAACAAGTGACAACATGACATCAAGTTTCCCAACCTAAACATTCAAACTACATTAAACCAAAAACAAGGGGATGTCACATTATCACCCCAAAAACTTTCACAATTAGGTGATAACATGACATCCGAGTGAACATGTCACTAACTAAACAGCCACACAAGTTTAACAAGTTTACTTGGCTAATAATTACATCACAACCAAAAATATACTAGCATAATAGAGTCCAGAACACCAGAACTGCTGGTCTTTAAGTCTGCTTCTTCCCATTACCCTTCTTTGCTTTCAACTTGGCCAATCTTTGCTTGTTAAGCTGGTTACCAGTAATAGCATTTTTTCCCTTTCATTGCAGCTTCTTTGGTGAGAATGGTAGGTTTGATGGCTCACTCATACCACTGGCATCACCAACAAATCTGATTTCCCTTGTTCCAATTGCTGCACTTTGTAATTGCCTCAGTTGTAGCCTAGTCTTTGCCTCAGAGATACTTCTTGGCCTTATAGCTATTTCAGGCTCAGGCTCAGGGTCAAAGTCTGGGTATTCAAAGTCTGGAAAAGCACTAATGCTTGGTTCTTTCCTCTGCACTGAAGGTGTTGGCATGAACACCATGTTGCTAGATTGACTTGTTTGACAAGGCTGACTTGGCTGAAGGGCTGACAGATGAATTTCCTCATCATTGACTTCTTGTGGCACTGGTGCAGCAGAGGGAGATCTGGGCTGTTCATCATCAGCTTCATCTAGTAAAGTTCTCTTTCTCTTTGTCTGCTTTCCATTCTTCTTGCCTCCAATGGGCTGCTTTCCTTTAGAATGCTGTTAGTAAGACAGAAAGTTTTGGTTAGTTGTTGAAACAGAAAGAATGATAGAAAAAGTAATGGTCTTGATTACCTTTGCACACCCTCTAGCATTGTGTCCAGGTTCACCACAGTTGTTACATGTCATTACCCTCCCTTTCCTTGACTGAGACCATTGTCCTTGCCTATTAAGTTCCTCATTTTTTTCTCTTGTTCTCTTAACCTTTGGTCTCCCAGTCATCTTTACCAAAGGTGGTGGAGCCATGTACTGTGAAGGCTCAATTTTCTAGAACTTTTCTCCTCTTACAGAAATAATAAATAAACATGTAAGTAAACAAAACAGTTTGATAAATAAAGGGAATAAGAAAAAGGTACAGAGGTAGATGAATAAAGACACAAAATTGAATGAGGTACATAATATTTCTGTATGCATATGGGGGACCACATAATAAACTATCAAACTTAGAGTCCCACCACAATAAAATAAGGAATAAACATATATGTAAGAGACCCACATGAGCATCATCTTCAAAGTAAATGCAGGTGAAACATGGGACCAAATAACAACAAGTCAGCTATTAAGAAATAGCTAAAATACTTTTTCAGTTAAAAAAAACCCTAACTGACCCTTCTTTAAAAAACATAAGGGACCACACATACTTGAAATCCTAAACAAGAGAAATGTCTTCTAAAATAAGTACCAAATATCATCAATTCCACCAATATACCCTAACCGACCAGTAGAATCAGACAAATAATTAGGGTATAAAGGTGAAAGCCACATGTAAACACAAACGACAAAAATCCAGTCAATATCTGAGACAAGAAACACCCTAAACGACAAACCACATATCTGAAACAAGAAAAACCCTAAACCACGAAGCACAGTCCAAAAACCCTAACTTTAACATAAAAGAAATACGAACCCTAAGACAAAAATACTTCATTTATAAACAACAACCATATCAAACCTAGTAGAAAAGTTCAGCTTTGGGGGGGGGGGGGGGGGAAATCGTACCTTGATAGCATTCAACACTGAAAAATCAGAGTTTCTTTAGAACCTTCCACACTTTTCTCTCTCGTTTCTATCGAAGTATTGCGGACCAAATGACACTCATTGCACATTTGGACAGGTCTATCATATTTATTTGGTGGGCAAACGGGTCATGGGTCACGGGTAAGAGAGGGATATGTAAATAGGTGTAGTGGGTTTTTAAATTGGTGGGCCCGCTGATGTGGAAGCTGACATGGCAGCTGACTTGGATAAATTTTATGTGGTCAGCTGCCAGCGTGTATAGACGTTAGGGTTGGGGGCATTTAGTTTAAGTTCATTAACGGTAGGGGCAAGAATGACCCAAATGTATAATGGGTGGCACAAGCAACCAATAAACAATAGTACAGGGGCAATTTTGACCTTTTTCCCAATAACAAATTTCTAACTCAAACAGCCTTCGAAACCCATAAACGAGCAAGCCATGAAGCAAAAATTTGAACAGCCTTTTAATCCTTTTTTTCGATTTTTCTCTCTTCTTTTGAAGTTTTCTAGATCTTAAACTTTGAAGTGCAAGCTTCTTCTCACAGAAGTCTAGGCGTGTGTGTATGAGATGAAAGAAAGTGGTCGTTCCATTTGGGTGGTTGATCGAAAGAGAAGACGGAGAAGATCAGGGAGGCGGCTAAGGTTCTAAAAGGTAACTGGGTTCGATGGCTGGCCAGATTATGGCCTTGGCTCGCCGGAGCTGGAACAAAACGAAAGATGGAGGGCCTTCTTGGAGGAGGCGACTAGGGTTTTCTTCAAGGGGGAAGGGTCTGTTCTCTTCTTGATAGAATGAAGATCAGGATCGGCGGCTTCGATTTTAGGGTTAAGGAGAAGGGGAATTCGTTTGGAGATGATGGAGGAAAGTGGGGCGGCTAGGATTTCCAAATTTGAGGGGGGAGGGGGTTCCTTCATCTGAAGATGGATGTAAGGGTTTTGGCATTTTAGGGAAAGNGACTATATTAGGTACATCAAGTGCAGGTTCACAGTCTTCTACAACAAACAAATTAATCATATTACAATGTTCATTAACAAGGTCCAATAGAGTCCTAATCCCAACATCCCCATCTATTTCATAATATCCACCACCAAGACCCCTTACTATTAATTGCTGCACCCCTATATACCCAAACTTTGTATCAAATTCATCAACTAAATCAGCATAAGAGAGCAAGTCAGAGTCAAAACCTTTATTGATGTGCACATACTTCTCTTTATACAGCGGGTGTGGCTTACTACTCCATTCCCCACCATGATGAAAAACTAACTCAACTAGCACCATCTATAAAAGGCTGCATAGTAACCATGAATAAAGTTATTACAGCCTACCATAGTAAATGCATAAAGAAGTAAAAAAAGACAAGATGTACAGAAATAATAAATAAACATGTAAGGGAAAGCTTGAATAAACAAAACAGTTTGATAAATAAAGGGAATAAGAAAAAAGGTACACGGGTAGATGAATAAAGAAACAAAAATGAATGAGGTACTACGATAAAGAAAGGGACACAAGCATGCATATGGGGGACCACATAATAAACTATCAAACTTAGAGTCCCACCACAATAAAATAAGGACAAAGCATATATGTAAGAGACCCACATGAGCATCATCTTCAAAGTAAATGCAGGTGAAACAGGGGACCAAATAAAAACAAGTCAGCTATTAACAAATAGCTCAAATCCTTTTTCAGTTAAAAAACCCTAACCGACCCTTCTTTAAAAACAAAGGGACCACACATACTTCAAATCCTAAACAAGAGAAATGTCTTCTAAAATAAGTACCAAATATCATCAATTCCACCAATATACCCTAACCGACCAGTAGAATCAGACAAATAAT